TGTACCACAGATGGCACACAGAGCCCTCTCTGCAGGCACGCGAACCGTCACCCCAGCTCATTTCCACTGTGCATGCTGCACACTTCCTGCCGGCCAGCTGGTTTTCGGGTTTCTGCCGGGCATGCGCAGGGGGAAGGGGGCACACGGGGTTGCATGTGCATGTCAGGGGGCAGGGCAGGCGGGGGGGGTGTCACACGCACATTGCATTATGGGTGGGGGGGTGGGTGCTTGCGATTTGGGCATTCAGTGCAAAAAAGGTTAGCCATCATTGGTATAGGGCAGTGATGGCTAACCTTTTTGCCATCATGTGCCAAAAGCGGGGGTCATGCATGCGTGAGCCCCCTGCACAACCTCTGCTTTTGGCACGCAATGACCCGGTGGGCCTGTTTTTCGCCCTCCCCAGGCTCCAGAGGCTTCCTTAAGAGCCTGGGGAGGATGAAAACTGCCTTCCCCACCCACCCAGACGCAACCCGGAGGCCAGAAACGGCTTGTTTCCAACTCCCGGTGGGACTGGAAGGCCCGAAAATCAGCTGGCTGGCGCACGCATGCGTGCTGGAGCTGAGCTAGGGCAATGCTCGCATGCCCACAGATATGGCTCTGCATGCCACTTGTGGCACATGTGCCATAGGTTCACCATCACGGGTATAGGGTTTCCTGCCTGAGCAGGGGGTTGGACTAGACAACCTTGAAGGTCCCTTCCAACTCTTCCTTATTCTGCAATCTTTTCTTTAAAAACCTCTAGTGATACAGCACCCACATCTTTGGTTATTTGTTCTCATTGTCAGGAAATTTCTCCTTAGTTCTGGGCTGCATCTCTCCTTGATAAGTTTCCATCCATTACTTCCTGTTCTGTCCTTAGGTATTTTGAAGATTAGGTTGACCCTCTCTTCTCTGGGACAGACCCTCAAATATTGGAAGACCTTCTCTCTCTCAGACTAAATATACCCAGTTGAAGTCCACAGCCCCTTAATAATCTTTTTTGCACTTTTCTTCATCCTTTCTAGAGCTCCAACATCTTTTTTGTAGTGTGGTAACCAAAACTAGATGCATTATTCCAAGTGTGGTCTTACCAAAACAGTATAAAGAGGTATTAACACTTCACATGACCTTAATATTATCCCTCTGTTGATGCAGCTAGAGAAGCATTGGCTTTTTTTGGCAGTTACAGCACACTGCTGTATATTTCAGCATTCGCCATTAGGACTCCTAGATCCCTCTCACAGTTACTGCTGGTGAGCCATGTATCACCTATTCTACACCTCTGCATTTGGTTGTTGTTGTTTTTTTGTCTTTTTGAATTACCTTTTAATATGACAATTATTCAAGTTTGTTGTTTAGCCTCTAATGCAGAAGAGAAAGTTGCTGAATCTTATGATACAGTTCAATTTGAAACCAACAGAACATGCAAATAAGATGTGCTTCTTGTGGCTGGAAATCAAAATACAAAGTTGGAAGTAATATGGAAGAAAAACTGTTAGATTGCATGGCTAGGAAATTGAAATGAAGTAGGAGAATGACTTCTCAATTTTTGACAGTCCAATGATGGATTTCAAAGTCTTTCAAAAACTAAATGATATCTAATATGCATGGACATCACCAGATACAGTACAAAGAAATCAAGGTGAGTGTAATTATCTGTACAAAGAAATGGGAAAGCTCACTTATAACAATTGTAGACCAATCATGCCCTGGTCATAGGCAAGTTCCAATTCAAGCTAAAGCAGCAGAAGAAAGCCAGCCAATTTCGATGACATTCAACTATTTTCAGGGAAAACATCAGGAATCACATTGGAAGTACTGAACTTAATTGACAGGGAACCAGAGAAATTGTGGAATGAAATTAATGAAATAAGGATGAACGTGAAGAGAGACGGCCAAAGACCAAAAAACAAAAGAATGCAAACTGGATTTCAAAACTGCCAAGAAGAAAAGCCAAAGTCAAGAAATATAAAGATCCAGAGATCTGGATAGAAAGAGCTTCAAAAAGTTGTTAAAAAAAGACAAAAAAATGGTATTACAATATCTGAAGAGATACCAAAGATGCAAACAAGACATGAAAAAAAGGGGGGAAAAAATCTTCAAACTGATATATTGAAAGATGCCAATGGACAGATAATAACTGATTGATTCTAAAAAGTTGTCAGTGGTATGTTGAGATTCTGTACGTAAGAGATGTCAGCGCCCGAGATATCTCAAAAGATATTCCTTGCTTACAATAAACTTTAGTATGGGAAGATACACCTCATTATCCTCATCTTAAATCTATAGATAGGCCAGGAGGTCTATATATATACCAACGCTGGAAAAAATACCACATGCCAGAAAAGAGATTTAGAAAACTCATAACCCTTAGTGATCCACCTGGGTTTTTGCAGCCCAATGCTAGTAGAATTGACCTAGCTTTTCCCTAACATATTAATTTTCATGGCCTAGCCTTCACGAATATGTTCAACCTATACTGGAGCTGAAAATGGTGAGTCAATTACTACTGATCCTAATAATTATATCTACATACCAAATAACCAAATACCAATATGAGAAAAGGATTTTATGGTATCTTTTTCCTTAATATGCTGGCTTTTATGTGCAGGAAAGGTGAAAGTAAGTCACTACTGATACATAAATTTTCCTTGCTTCATGTGAAAAAACAGATCCTAGTATGACATTTGTGCTGTCATACTGCAGTTAATTTGCATCAAAGGTCTGGAAACATGCTAAGGTTTCTTCCATAAGTGCTTGAAAATTTTCTGGTCAACCTCCTTTATGCTCTCATACTTACTGTACAGTTTGTACAGTTATTCCAGTTGTGCATCCTACCTTCCACTTATTACTGTACTTGCAATAGCCATTACTCTTGGTCAAAGTTGTCATCAACTATTGCCCAGTCCCCTTACCCAAAATAAATAGGAATAAAGTTGGGCATATAAAACTGCACTAAAACTGGTGAACAATCCTCATCCCTAGGGCAAGGTTTAAATTTGGGTGTATCTATTGTGGCCAATATCATAAAAATGCTAGTATATAAATGGTAGCCATTTCCTGGACTAGTCCCTGCAGGTTTTTTGGCAAGGTTTTGGAAGTGGTTTGCAATACACTCCTTCCTAGGGCTAAAAAAGAATGACAGGTCCAAGGTCACCAAAGGTAGGACAAGAACTCACAGTCTCCCAGTTTCTGGCTCAGTGCTTTAAGCACTATATCAAACAGGCTTTCATACTAGAAATACAACTGTGAAAAAGATTGAGAAACTGCTTTTAATGAAAACAGAAAACGAGGCGAAGAAAACATGTTTATCAGACTAGTGCTTAAAATAAGGCTCTAAAAATTTACGAACACATGTCAATGCACTTGAATAACAAATGACGCCACACCTTGTAACATCATTTTTTCCACTAGTTTTGTGTCTCGCTTTATGAAAAGTTATGGGAGAAATGTATATATACCTCAATGGTATTATTGGTTATACAGGTAGTCCTCGTTGAACACACCATTCATTCAGCAACCATTCAGTTACAATAGAGCTAAACTGAGATGGTCTTATAACTGGTCATCATAACTGCAGCAGATGCAGCATCCCCACAGTTGCCAGCTTGTAACTGCAACAGTTGAGGCAACCCATGGTCACATGATCACCATTTGCCATCTTCATTGCCAACTTCTGAAAAGCAAAATCAATGGGGAAGCCAGCAGAAGGTCGCAAATAGCGACAGTGTGACTGGGGGATGCTGGGCTGCACTGGACTCACTTAATGATGGCCGCTGGAATGGCTGCAGCTGCCACTATACACTGGCAGGGTCACATGATGTTGTGCTTTACAATAGACTTACAATAGCCCCAATCACCACTGTTAATAGCAATAGCATTTAGACTCATATACCGCTTCACAGTGTTTTACAGCCCTCTCTAAGCGGTTTTTGGGATGCAATTAGTGGCTAAGATGCTGAGCTTGTCGATCGAAAGATTGACCGTTCAGCGGTTCAAATCCCTAGTGCCACATAACAGGGTGAGCTCCCGTTACTTGTCCCAGCTTCTGCCAACCTAGCAGTTCGAAAGCACGTAAAAAATGCAAGTAGAAAAATAGGGACCACCTTTGGTGGAAAGATAACAGCGTTTCTTGCGCCTTTGGCATTTAGTCATGCCGGCCACATGACCACAGAGCCGTCTTCAGACAGTGCTGGCTCTTTAGCTTTGAAACGGAGATGAGCACCGCCCCCTAGAGTCGGGAACGACTAGCACATATGTGCGAGGGGAACCTTTACCTTTACTAAGCAGCTTTAGAGAGACAGCCTATTGCCCCCCCAACTATCTGTGTCGGAAGGACAGAAGGCTGAGTCAACTTTGAGCAGGTGAGGATCGAATTGCTGACAGTCCGGCGGAATTAGTCTGCAACACTGCATTCCAACCACTGTGCCACCAGAGCTCCAGGGTTAAGCCAGGGCTACCTGCAATGCCCAGAAAGCATAGCCAGGGGCAGTGCATACTGGGAGCTGCAGGTTATATCCATCAGTATTTCAGGCTACTTCCCACGCATTTATTTTTATTTTTTTTAAAATCTGGTCTCATTCAGACTCCCACAACTGATGTGCGCACACACACAAACGCAGCAGCTTTTGCTTGCCCTCTTGTCCCTCTTGGGTAAGACCTGCAGCCTTGCAGACTTCCCACCTGCAGCCTCACCAAAGAGGAGTCTAGGCCCTTTGTGGGGGGGGACAAAAAAAAAAAATCCCCGAAGGGAAAGCAGCGAGGCCTCCTGCTCCACAGAGGAGCTGTCCTTCAAGCCTTCACTCCCCTTTACTCCGTCCTGTCCGGATCGATCTGCCTCCACTCAGCCGAGGCATCCCAGGACCCGCCATTTTCCGGCCGAGCCAAGGCCTCGCCTCCTCGCTCTTCTCCACACGCTACTGCAGCCGCCGCCGCCCGACACTTCCCCGAAGCCAAGGGTGAGCAAGGGGAGGGGGGGGGAGAGAAACCGCGGCGCACGCCTGCCCGCCTCCGCAACCTACCATCTCGCTGCCCCGCCGTCCTCCTCCTCCTCCTCCTCTTTTCCCGCAGACGGCGGCGGGTCCCTTCCCCGGGAGGGGGTGGGGGTGGGGAAGGGCTGGCTGGCTTCGGCCGCGGGAGCGCGCCCGCCATCTGCACGTGCCCGCTCCCGTTGCTGGAAGTGTGTGGGGAAGGAAAGCGGGACGGAGCGAGGGAGAGTTTTTTACGAGGCGATTTAGGACGAGGAGAACCTTGCGAAGCCAGGGCGGGTTTGGGGTTTTTTTTTTGCCGTGGCCGCTGACCTAATCTGAGGGTTGGTGGTGGTGGGGGAAACACTAATGCACATGCCATCCCCGCCTTTCCTTTGCTCTCCAGCGGCAGAGCAAACGCTCTCGGTCCTTCAAGGTGCCTGCGGGTGTCTTGTCCCGCAGACGCGATTTCGCTTCATTTTTATTTATTTTTTTAGGTTAATGTTTCGCGCTGCCGCTTCTTTTCGAGCACCGTTCCGGTTCTGATCAGCCCTAGGCGATTCCCTTTGGCAAAGAGGCCCGCTGACTGTATGGACGCGCCGCCTGCGGTTCTGTAACGTTGTTCCCTGAATAAAGGTGGCCCTTGGCTTACAACAGTTCATTTAATGACCGTTCAAAGTTACAACGACACTGGGGGAAAAAAGGACACTCATGGCCGTTTTTCACTCTTAACGGCCGTTGAGTCATTTTTTCCCCCCTGGTCACATGATCCAAACTTGGGCAACTGGATCGTATTTAGGATGGTTACAGTCTCCTGGGATCAGGTGATCGCCTTTGACAAGCAAAATCAATGGGGAAGTCAGATTCCCTTTACAACATTTAAGGAGTGCAGTGATTCACTTAACAATGGTGTCAGAGTGTTACAGTGTGGCTACTATTTTGAGACCATCAGGAGCACTCTGACAAATGGTGACAAGAAAGGTCGTAAAATGGGGCAAAATCCTTAACAAATGTCTCATTGATCAGCAGAAATGTTGGGCTCAGTTATGGCCGTAAATCAAGGACTACCTGCATGCCAGTGTGGTTTATAAGGCAACTAAACTCGTAGATGAAACCATCATAATTAGGTATGAAAGATGCTTTAAAGGAAAAAGTGCAAAATGCATGTTCATAAATCAGGCTGTCTAAAAATCAGCCCGAGTTTGACGTTAATCCTACACAATTTCTAGAACAAAAAAAACGCTACCTAAGAAATGGTGGTGAAATCATCAGTGGAAATTTAATAAAGTAAATCTTTAAAGTGTAATACAAAAAGAGGCATGTGCAATAGGAATAGAAAATGTGCATCAACAAGAAAATATTGCAGGTAACGCTCCTCACAGTTCCAGTCAACAATCCTGTTTCTTCTTCAACTTGAGCTCCTGGCTTCCCACAATCACTTTTCTGAGTTCAAGATGAAATATACTTGTTGCTTCCAAAGATTTAGCCTCTGGCACATTATAGGACTCTCTGTGCTTGCTGGCACTTGTATACATGCACCTGAGTCTCCGGAGAGGGGCGGCATATACATTTAATAAATAATAATAATAATGGTGTTAGTTGGGATACAAAAGCATCAGCACTCATGTCTAAACAATAAGAGTTATTATTAATGTGTGAAGTTTGCAAAGCTTTCAAGTTGCCATAATGATTATTTCAACCTAAGTTTTGACAGTTACTGTTACAGTGTAATAGAAGTAGGATTGGGGAGACCCAGGATCATATCCCCACAGTTATGCACTGGAGGATTTGCGATCTCTCAGTACATCATAACCTATTTATTTCACCTGTTTACAGTGGAGGTAATACAGAACAGGTCAGATAGGAAAAAGAGAACCTTGTGAATTATGAACTCAAAAGTAAGAGTTGCTGAGATTGATCTGGAAATTGTACATCCACATGATTAAACCACTCCAGATGTTCCAGCTGTAGTAGTAAAGACAAATCTTCATTAGCAATCTCTCAGTGGAGAGTGTGATATAGATTAGATCCATTTATCCACTGATGGATTAGCATCTGGTAGTACTGTAATATGGTTTCTCTTTACCCCTCTTTACTTGCAACTCCCCCAAAAGCTGTGGTATTTCCAGAAAGACTCAATTTGGGGCATACGTAGGGAAGAGCTGAAAAACACAGAAGAGAATAAGAAAAAAATCCCATCGTAAGTGAAGGCTTGCTTACATAATGGTGAATGCAACTGTATTAAAAATACCATACAGGTAGTCAGGTTTGGAAATAGGCATTTTTAAAGAATGAAATATCCATTATTTACCCAAAGGTGCTGTTCAAAAGACAACTGGACTTTCTTGGGTTTTTTTTTCCCTTGAAAATGTTTCATTTGTCATCCAAGAAACTTCTTCAGTTGTACCTGAAGAAGCTTCTTGGATGACAAGCTAAAAATTTTCAAGGGAAAAAAAAATCAGTTGCCTTTTGAATGCACTTTTGCGACAACCATGACCTGGATGACTGGGAATATCCGTAGGCATCCATTATTTACAGACCACAGTTAAGATTACAATTGAAATCAAAGCAACATCAATTCCTATGCTGTATGCGTATGATATAAACACTAGAATAATATAAGTTTCCCCTTTGCACCAGAATGTCAGGGACTTTTTAAAAATAAAGCACTATTTTTTTCTTGAAAATATGTTGTCTTCAATTTCAGTATATATGCTGTTACCAAACAAAACTATTTATTTATTTATTTATTTTATTTCGGGAAATTAGATATAGTAAAAAAAAAAAATCAAGAGTAGCTTTTCACCTACTGAAATATCAAAACCCATTTTCAGCCTACTAAAATATCAAGACCCATTTTTCAATAACCAGGATTCAGTTCCTGGTTTATTCACTTTTTTTAAAAAAACTCCAATTTTTAAAATTGCTGATGCTGTCTAAACACAAGGGAAATTAAAACATTCTGTTGGCAACTTATGTTGAAACACATGGCAAAATGATTGGCTTGTGGATTCATTTTGGAGAAGCATTTATTTCTACAATGAATAGCCCTCTTAATTTAAATTACAATTGGCAGTCATTCACCCATATTACACATAAAATATTAGTGGATAGTTTTACTATTGTAGAATCATACCGTACTGTGTTGAATTAATAGGTTGGGGTTTTTTTGTTTTATCTTGTCAGTTTTATTTAGAATCAAGTTACGTTAAACAGAAACCATCAAAACTATACCACCACACACTCAAATTTTATAGCTAACCTGTTTCCCCCAAAATAAGACATCCCCTGATAATAAGCCCAATCGAGCTTTTGAGTGCATGGCAATAAGGCCAAGTGCTTATTTCAGGGTTCAAAAAAATATAAGACATGGTCTTATTTTTGGGGAAACACGGTATTAAGCCTCCTTACAAGACAAGTACATGTTTTGAATTGCAGAGTGAAAATGATAGTTTAATTGAAGGCTAGCTAGCCAACAAAATATTCATTGAAGTGAATTTAAACTGCTTGTTTAAGATAACTACTGCAATTTTGTCTTATTTTCTTATTGAAATTTAAAGCATTATTTTAAAAGCTGAAATCACAGCAGGAGTGTCTTGTTAATAGTAGATGCCAGATGAATTTCTTATTAAATCATAGGATATACATCCATCTGAAATATTAAATGCTTACTTTTTTATTAGGCTATATCATGGACATAATTTTAACAGGATTGCTTCTTGAGCCTTTAATTGCTTCTCTCAGCTATCCCACAGCCATATGCACAGAATATGTTCCAGGTGGGTCTCCAGATTTTGGGGAAGTGGGGAGGCACTGGAGAGGAGAGGGAAACCACATATATGCCGTTTTGTCAACAGCTGAACAAATTGATTTTCAAGCCTATGAACTACAGGATACCTACACATGAGGTACTGTATGTTTAGCTGTATTCTAAGCATTTGTAATCATCTTATTCTTACTTATCTTCCTGCAGCATTAACTCTGCACTGCTGATTTGTATTCCAGTGAAGATCTGATGATTGTGTGGGAGGAATCAGAGAATGTAGAATAGCAAGTGAAATAGCTTAGTATTTCTTCTGCCATTTCAATATAAGTGTAAAAGTCCAAGTTGGGTAATATCATTATAGGTGTTTGGATTGCCTTTGTCAAGGCCTGTAGGAACCCAGCCAGGTGGGAAATACACTCAAGGAACCCAGTGGGGTGGAATGGTGAGGAAAGATGGCTGGGGAGAGTTGCAATATCCCTACAGTCAATCATAAGGGTGGGCAGTTGTGATCACCTGACCATGGAGGTGATACAGGGCACAGAACATAGGTTCCTTGCGGAACAAATGGTCATAAGTCAAGGACTACCTATAGCAATAGCACTTAGACTTGTATACTGCTTCACAATGCTTTACAGCCCTCTCTAAGCGGTTTACAGAATCAGTATATTGCCCCCAACAATCTGGGTCCTCATTTTACTGACCTCGAAAGGATGGAAGCAGTGGTGGGATTCAAATAATTTAACAATCGGTTCTCTGGCTGTATAGGCATGGCCAGGTGGTCATGTGACTGGGTGGTCATGGCCAAATTGACGTCACACCCAGCCCTGCCTCCCAGCCAGAGGTGAGATTCAGCTGGTTCAAACCCCTTCAGGCTAATCCCACCACTGGCTGGCTCCACCCCCATCCATTTTTTGGCCCATTTTAAAGTCCATAAGTCTTAAAGTTGCCAGGGTTGGATACCCCTGAGCAAGAGCCAAGGTGGCGCAGTGGTTAGAGTGCAGTACTGCAGCTACTTCAGCTGACTGCTAGTTCAGCAGATCAGCGGATCAAATCTCAGCAGCTCAAGGTTGACTCAGCCTTCCATCCTTCCGAGGTGGGTAAAAGGAGGACCCAGATTGTTAGGGGGCAATATGCTATTTAGTATACTGTCTTTGGTGTAAGCCGCCCAGAGTCCTCGGAGAGTGGGCGGCATAGAAATATGACTAATAAATAAATAAATAGTTGTTCTGATAGATCAGTGTTTTTCAAATTTGGCAACTTGTAAGATTTGTAGATTTCAACTTCCAGAATGCTGTCTGGGCAATTCTGGAACTCCACTCATTTTAGGATTGCAAGTTTGAAAAACCCTGTCAAAAATGTGCAAATTAAGATCCTTTTTAGGGATCTGTGCTTTGGTCTCCTTTAAAAAAAAAAACATATTACAGATTATCCTGAGCAGCATATCTATGAAGTAAGGCTCTAATAGAAACATGCTTTATGCATAAAAATATAGAACGACATCTAAGGATCACTAATCTCCCCACCTTCATGGACCATAATTTATGAAAAGAAGTTCACAATGATCTCAACAGAAGTTTTCCTCAGCTCTGCTTTGCCTGAATATGCAATATCTATGCTCTGTCATTGAGCATTGATTCTTGATGAACCTATCTTTTATTTTATGTACACTGAGACCATATGCACCAAAGACAAATTCCTTATGTGTCCAATCACACTTGGCCAATAAAAATTCTATTTTGTTCCGTTCCATTCCGTTCCATTCCGTTCCATTCCGTTCCATTCCATTCCATTCCATTCCATTCCATTCCATTCCATTCCATTCCATCCCATCCCATCCCATCCCATCCCATCCCATCCCATCCCATCCTATTCTATTCTATTCTATTCTATTCTATTCTATTCTATTCTATTCTATTCTATTCTATTCTATTCTATTCAACAATCACAATACTCCCTTTTAGGAAAGTGAATGCCAGCATTTTAGAATCCCCTGGGCTTTGTATTTTTTTCTGTGTGAAAGAAGCTGTGTGTCTGATTTATTCCTGCAGCATAAAGACACATCCTCATTAGTATTTCAAAGCCTACAAATGAGAGTTGCGGATAACCTGCACAGATCAATTCAGGATTGCCTTGTCTCTGTCAGGCTGTAATCCTAAACTACTTATTAGGCAGAGGCTGCAAGCGTAACTGAACTAATTAGGATACATTTCCCAATAAACATGTTTAAAACTGAGCTGTAACGTCTGAAGATAACCATAGAATGTGAATGCTCAATGGTTTCTCTGACACTCCATCCATTTATGTTCAACAGCCTGAAGATCATTCTTATTGTAGTGCCTACCAGAGCTTAATTTCTTAAGATATAGAATAGAGTGATATACCTCCAGCTTTCTCTTGGTTTTCTTATACTTCTAGTCCTTTTCCAAACTCAGTGCCAATCAAGACTGTTGTCCTTCAAAGTGGTACAACAGCATCCATAGCAGTGGTGGGATTCAAATTTTTTTACTACCGGTTCTGTGGGCGTGGCTTGGTGGACATGGCTTGGCTTAGTGGGCAGGGCTTGGTGGGCGTGGCAGGGGAAGGATATTGTAAAATCTCCATTCCCACCCCAATCCAAGGGAAGGATACTGTAAAATCCCCATTTCCTCCCGATCAGCTGGGATTCGGGAGTCAGAGAATAGATGGGGGCGGGGCCAGTCAGAGGTGATATTTACCGGTTCTCTGAACTACTCAAAATTTCCTTTACCGGTTCTCCAGAACTGATCAGAATCTGCTGAATACCACCTCTGATCCATAGAGCCTTGCAGTGTGATACAGCAAGCCACCTTTTTGAGTATGCAGGTGATGACACAATTTCCATAGAAAAAGGGTGGGGGATTGTATTGTGACACTGCAATATTATTTACATCTTTTGGGTAGCCCCTTAACACCGCCATCACCCACAGAAAATGCGAATAGGTTGCCACCATCAGGGAAATATTCTCTAAATAAAAGTTCTTCCAGGAATGACCTGAGCTATAGTAATCGATAGAGGAAGGAAGTAGAGACAAAAGGCTGGAGATTATGCTTACTAGAACAGAGGGTCTTCTTGCTTAAATGAGGTCAGGTCTAAGGATCAAAGGATAAAGTTTAAGAGTTGTGTCATCAGTGGCTTTATTCTTAAACAACAGAGAGCATTGGAAATTGAAAACATTTTTGTAAGATTTCACTTAACTATAAAGGCTTTACATTCAGAGATATATCTCTAGACATTAACGCTCAGCAAGGACTGTATTTCATAATCATAATCATAAGTTTATTTGTCAAGCATATATAAGATAACAGGTAACAGTATAAACATAATTTGAATACATGAAAAGAGTAAGTAAAAAGGAATATTAGGACAGGGACGGTAGGCACGCTGGTGCACTTATGCACGCCCCTTACAGACCTCTTAGGAATGGGGTGAGGTCAATAGTAGACAGTTTAAGGTTAAAGTTTTGGGGGTTTGGGGAAGAAACTACAGAGTCAGGTAGTACATTCTAGGCACTGACCACTCCGTTACAGAAGTCATCTTTTCTGCAATCGAGTTTGGAATGGTTTACCTTGCGTTTGTATCTATTATTTGCTTGTGTATTGTTGTGGTTGAAGCTGAAGTAGTCATTGACAGGAAGGACATTGTGGCAGATAATTTTATGTACTATGCTTAGGTCAGACTGAAGTCGGTGTACTTCTAAGTTGTCTAAGCCTAAAATTTGGAGTCTGGTGGCATAAGGTATTTTATTGCGGTTAGAGGAATGGAGTACTCTTCTCGTAAAATATCTCTGGACTCTCTCGATTGTATTTATGTCCGATACACAGTGCGGCAGGGGTGGGTTCTAACCAGCTTTACTACCGGTTCTCTTTGTGCGCGCGCTTTGCACGCGATTGCCTCTTCGGTCATGCGCTTTGCACGTGATCACCGTGCGCATGCTCGGTTTGCTTGCCTGCATGCCAAATGTGCACTTTGCGCAAGCGCATTGCAAATCTGCCCAGCTGAGATGCGGCAATCCGCTCTGCCGCACCTCTCAGCTGGGCGAAAAAAGAAGAAATATAAGGTCGGCATAACGCTGGGGCGGGCGGGAGGGCCCAGCTCCCGAAGACAGAGAACCGGTTCGGTGACATCATATTGTCACCACTACCGGCTCTCGCGAACCGGGAGGAACCCACCACTGCAGTGCGGGTTCCAGACAGATGAGCTGTATTCAAGAATTGGCAAATGTTTTGTATGCTCTAGTTAGTAGTACATTACCAGAGAAGAAGTTACGCAAGATTAGGTTAACAACTCTTAATGCCTTTTTGGCAATGTTATTACAGTGGGCTCTGGCACTTAGATCTTTAGAAATGAGTACTCCAAGGTCCTTGACCTTTATTTACCCCCAATTTACCCCCAATTGCAGTTGACCTTTCCCCTCAAAAAGATTAAGACAGATTTGTCTAAGCTGAGAGAGTCTTTCTTAGCTGGACTTTTCCCTCAAGCACCCCGGGCGTTTATGATCATACTATAATAATTAATAAATACTGTAATAGTAATGCTCTGTGAAAAGAATCCTAGAATATTGTTTAAAAATAACATTGTGAACATTAAATCATTACTTGTACAGGTACTCCTTGACTTGTGATAGTTCATTTAAGTGACTGTTCAAAGTTATAACGGCACCGAAAAAAATGACTTATGACCATTTTTCAACTTATGACCATTGAAGCATCCCCATGATCACATGATCAAAATTCAGCAGCTTGGCAACTGGCTCGTGTTTATGATGGTTACAGTGTCCCGGCGTCATGTGATCTCCTTTTGCAACCTTCATGTTGTGACCTAGGCAAGTAAGTAGTAGGAAAATCAGTCAGTGAAAAAACAAACAAACTTTATTCAAACAGCTGAGAATTACTTAATTCCCAGCGTTGTTCAAATAAATTAAAGCAAATTCCTCCCAACACAAATTCCTCAGTCCTATCGCAAACCTTGGTCCAATTAGACAAACTGCCAAAGGCCTTTCTTGGCAAACATTCAGAAGTCGCAGATACAAAAATAAATACAAGATGTAGACAAAGAAGAAAATGAAGTTACCAACATTGTTTTCCTGCAAAGCCCAAACACCATTGCTGGTCTGTTTTAAGCCTTATGGGAGGGGTCAATCATCACTTGGCTCTACTCCCGAGTTGTCATCTTTGCTTGAGCTGCTCTTGCCTTCTGGCAACTCTTCTCATGCGTGCATTAAGAACAGGCTCCTCCTGTTCCTCTGCCTCACTCCTATCAGGCTCTGGAGGCTCTGGAGTCAGCACCTCACTCCCCAATGGCCCTGGCCCCCATCTCTGCCTTTGACGCAGAGCCCTCATCCGGGCCTTCCCCAACTTCCAGGACTGGCCCATGTTCTTCCTCAGCCTCATCGCTGTGCGACTCCGCTGCCAGCTCCGCAGGCTGCTGGCGGACCACAACACTTCAGGCATGCAAAGTTTTTTTTAAAAAAAGAAGTTTTTTATTTTTAAACAAAAACAACATAAAAAACATCATCTTTCCATATACTTACAGTGATTCGATCGATTAAAATCATTTCGTGCTCTCAACATTTTCAAAATTTCAATTGTGACAAATGTTCTTTCATCTAACTAAAAACAAATGTTTACACATTTTATTCAAATTTCATATCATATGTAATATTTCATCTCTATTCTTTATTATCTACCCATTGATAAAATAGCTCCCATATCAAATAATATTGTTTATCTTCCTGTTCTCTTATTTCAAATGTCAATCTACTCATTTCAGCACAGTCCAATATTTTTTTAATAATTTCTTCATCAATTGTCTTCTCTCCTTTCCAGTTTTTTGCAAATATAATTCTAGCCGCTGTTAAAATATTCACAATTAAATATTGCAGTTCTTTATTAAATGTCTCTGGTAAGATCCCTAATAAAAATATCTCTGGTTTAAAGTCAATATGTCTCTTTGTCATTTTTTCCAACCACGTGTGTATCTTAGTCCAAAATCTCCTTGCTTCTATGCATGTCCACCACATATGGTAATAGGATAGACATGCAAAGTTGATGGGAGAGATTCACTTAAAAACCCCATTACTATTCACTTAAAAACCCCATTACTAACTTAATAATTGCAATGATTCACTTAACAACCATGGCAAGAAAGGTTGTAAAATGGAGCAAACTTCACTTAGCAAATCTCACACTTAGCAACAGGAATTTGGGGATTGATTGTGATCATACATTAAGGACTACCTGTGCTGTTTTTTGAAAGGTGAGGTATAAATATACATATAGTGGTGGCCAACATGCCACAATGAGAAAAGGGGACATGGCTTGTTCAATTTTTTTTAAATTTTTTATTCTGAATATTACACACAACTGATCCGTTCAGTCTCTCACGCTCATATATATTTCTGGTAGATAAAATAAAACAGCATGCATCCTAATTTTTGCCAATATTTTCTTCTGTTTGCTAACCATTATTGAGGCATTGTCTGAGGCAAAACATACAATTATTTAAGATGAGTCCTGAAGCTGACAGACGTTTCTAAATGCATTTGCAATATTATCATCATCTGCGTAGTTTTCTGTGGAATACAATAGGAGTTTCTATGACATTGCCCTGGAAATCAAAGGTTTTCTTTCTTTATTTTTAAATAATCACTTTGGATATAGCCTGCCTGGCAAACCAAAGTAGCATGCTCTGATAATCATACGTATCCCCACAATTTTCTGTTTTTTTTGTCACATACACAGTCAGATTACTGCAGCCCATATGGGGGAAAAAATAAAGGGCCACATTAAAGCGAAATACAGAAATTCATAGACAAAAGCTGAGTGTGATTTATTATCTCCCCAGCAGCCTTTAATTAAAGTGGAATCTTCCTCCCTAGCTGGCAGAAGCCCAGATATATGAAGCACACACAAAACAACTGTTTCAGAAGGTTTTGTATTTCTGTAGACAAAAGCCAAATGTTCAGCCAGGTATTTCCACCAGTCTCATTTTCTGTATCTCTCTGTAAATGTTAAAGAAACGGGTGTTTAATATTCAACTTTCATCCATCCTCTGGGCTATTTCATTAAATTATTATTTCTGTATTATCTTCCAAAATCTGAAATATCAATTTGAAACTTATCCAGTATCTTTTCACAGATTCCATCAGATAAATCTTCATTTGCATCAGACCACTGCCGTCTTGTACTGTAGTCTATCCGAGGCTTTATGTTTTCTTTTGGTTTCATTTAACTAATTTGCAACTTCTGTATGCTATGATTTGAGCAGCTCTGTAATTCATCTCCCTCAAGATTAAATTTTCGCTTTTTAATAATTAAAATATAATTTGCATTTCCTTTTCTAACATTAATTATTTATTTTGTTTCTTTCTTGTAAGATTGGTCTATCTCTTAAGAAGAAGAAGGTCTGAATCATCTAGAGGGCCTTGCTTCAATGTTTACCATTACAGTATTTCACTGTTTGATATTTAATCAGCAGAAAGACAGCACATGGTACAAGAGTCTCATCTCTCTCACACAGCGGAGTTAGGATGTAGAATAGATGCAGAGTTGGAAGGGACCTTGGAGGTCTTCTAGTCCAACCCCCAGCTCAGGCAGAAAACCTATACCCTTTCAGAAAATAGTTGTCCAATTTCTTTTTAAAGACTTCCAATGTTGGAGCACCCACAACTTCTGGAGGCAAGTCGTTCCACTGATTAATTGTTCTAACTCTCAGGAAATTTCTCCTTAGTTCTAGGTTGCTTCTCTCCTTGATTAGTTTCTATACATTGTTTCTTGTCTTGTCTTCAGGTGCTTTGGAGAATAGCTTGACTCCCTCTTCTTTATGACAATCCCTTAGATATTGGAACACTGCTATTATGTTACCCCTAGTCCTTCTTGTTATTAAATTAGACATACTCAATTCCAGCAACTGCTCTTCATAAGTTTTAGCCTACAGTCCCCTAACCATCTTTGTTGCTCTTCTCTGTGCTCTTTCTAGAGTCTCAACATCTTTTTTACATTGTGGCAACCAAAACTGGATGCAGTATTCCAAGTGTGGCCTTACCAAAGCATTATAAAGTGGTATTAACACTTCACATGATCCAGGGGTGGGTTCTATTTTACTACTGGTTTGCAACGGGGCTGTGTGCACACACGCTCTTCTGCGCATGCGCAGAAGCATTTTGATGACGTCAGGGTCAGTGGGCGGAGCCTCCCGCTGGTTTTACTACCAGTTCTATAGAACCAGTGTGAACCGGGGGCAACCCACCACTGACATGATCCTGATTCTATCCCTCTGTTAATGCAGCCTAGAATTGTGTCAGCTTTTTTGGCGGCTGCAGCACACTGCTAGTTAATAATTGGTTACCAAGCCCCAAGCTCAGGGAAAAAAAAAAAAAAAACAGGTCAGGGAATGAAGACCCAGGGGGTTTCCAAGAGAAGAAATTATATTCCTCCATCTTTCTACCTATAGGCTCAGATATCCTATATATCTGTATACCTGCATAACTACTAACTAAATTTATTACATAATTTTAAAGATGGTAAGAGAATATAGTTAAGATAAGACTGAATCTTTTTTGTGGATTTCCTTTGAGATCTTCAATGAAAGTTGATGTGGAAGGCTTTTCAACTGCCAAAAGGCCTTGACTTTTTAAGTATATGAAAAAACAAAGCACACAGAAGACCAACTGATAACCAGTTTCTAGTATCAAGGTATGTCTTAGCTCTTCCAGGTAAGCCAGACAGGAAACAGACTAAATGAGTTAATTCTACTTTATTGTTAGACTATAAGCCTCAAGATACAAACTTCCTACCGTCACTTTTAACCATTGGAAAAATTAGGACATGTTCTGCCTACACTTCTTGCTCTGGCTATTAATCCATTGGGGGCTCCTGCCTCACTTGTCTGATAGTTCCTAATCAACATTTTCTCCCCTCTTCCACCCAAGATTACCCACTCATTTCATTACAGTATGAAACCAATGATAGAAGGAACATATAAAAGAATAGCACTGTACTTTTTGTGATGTTGGACCTGTGTACTGAGATAATATGAATGTAAATTAATCAAAACAAACCTTAAATTTAAAAATAGAAGATACCTTTTTCACCTCATTTTTACAAACCAGCAGATACAGTCTTTGATTTCACGAGGATTAAAAATGGAAAACAGCCCCAGTGTAGTTGGTGATTTCAAAAGCAGTAGTCATAAACAGAATTACGATTTCCCAAATATGGATGGTGACTTGGAATATAACTTCCCAAATGTAAATGGTGACAACTTGGGACAAAAATGAACTAGCAGAATTTGATCCATGGCCATAAATTTCTTTAATTAAGGGCAATAAAAAAAACGTGTCATGATTTTGTCAGCAATAGTATATCATCAAACAGTAAAGCGGTTTTAGCACAATGCCATTCTCCTTGCATCACCTTTTGCATTTCAAATTTATTCAGTGATTATACCTTTGTGATGTTTGTTCATTTTAAACCAGCTAGCAAAATTTCATGGCTTATCTCAATGCAGAGGGAATGGATGTGAAAGTAAGCCATACAACTATGAAAATATTTTCAAAGGTATGCGATGTTCTGTTAGGCTACATACATGAAGAAGTTATCTCCCTAGTCATACACTGTAATAATTTTTCCTGGTAGTATTCAGTACTGTATCATCAGTACTTTTATTTATTTATTTTGTCTCTATAGGCAAAGAGTTTAATCTTTGCTGGTTAAAGAACAACATAAAATATGTGTTGTGGTCCACCAGCAGCCTGCGGAGCTGGCAGCGGAGTCAACAGCAATGAGGCTGAGGAAGAACAGGGGCCAGTCCTGGAGGCTGGGGTAAGCCCAGAGGAGGGCTCTGCGTCGGAGGCAGAGATGGGGCCAGGGCCATCAGGAGTGATGTGCGGACTCCGGAGCCTCCAGAGGCTGACAGTAGAGAGGCAGAGGAACAGGAGAAGCCTGTTCCTAGTGCACGTATGAGAAACCAGAAGGCAAAAGCAGCTAAAGCAAAGAGGATGACTCAGGAGTACGGCTAAGTAGTGATTGGCCCCTCCCATAAGGCTTAAAAGACCAGCAACGGCTCTTGGGCTCTTTGTCGGAAAACAACGTTGATAGACTTGTTCTTGTCTTGCTGCACTTATCTGTGGTCGGCGTCTTTTGCTTCTGAACTTTTGCCAAGAGAAGCCTTTGGCAGTTTGCCTAATTATACCAAGGTTGGTGATTAGACTGAAGAATTTGTGTTATGAAGAGTTTGTTTTAATTTAGTCTGGACTACACTGAGAATGAGTTAATTCTCAGCTGTTCTAATAAAGTCTGTTTGTTTGCGTCTGTTGCAGAACTGTTTGTGTCTAAAACTACCTACTTGGGCCTGGGTCACAACAATATGATGGGAATTGATTGAGAGAATGGAACCATAACAACCCAGCACATCTCCTTCAAGCTGTCAGAGTCAGGTTGTCAGCCCTGGAGGCCATCTTTTTCTTTGGATCTCAGGGCTGCCACACTTAGTGTTGTGGGAAACTGGAGGGGGGGGATTGCAGGGAGTTGTAGAGATATCTAGCCATAATAACATTCTTTTCTCTGGGAGTCAAGGACATTCAGCCTGCACCTGGAGTGGCATGACTAGGAGACATCTCCAGTTGGGACGGTGCATTGATTGGACCATGTGATGGGCATGTGGGTGCAGGGGAAGGGACTTGGACTTTCTTTTAGGTGGGAAAAATCTGGAAGCTTTCAGATTCAGGTTTTCCCAGATGTGCCAATATGACATCTCTAATAAAATGGAACTTTGAGGAACTTTTAGCCTCAGAGTCTTCTTTCATTGGGGGTGTACTTGGAACCCTGACACAGGTCTGCCCTAACATCTCAACAGCTGAGCAGAATCCAGGCCATATCTGAATCCCAGGAGGAAGGTGATAGAGACTGCAAATCCGATCACTGAACCATGTGGTTGGTCAAATGGAAGTCACAGGACACAGGTTGGCCATTCATTTAGTGACCATTTAAGGTTACAACAGTGCTGAAAAAAAGCAATTTTCAGTTAATCCTCACTCTTATGACTGTCATACTATCCCTGTGGTCATGAGATCAAAATTCAAGTGCTTCGCAATCGGCATATTTTTACAATGGTTGCAATGTCATGGGGTCACGTGATTGTCATTTGCAACTTTCTCAATTGGTTTCCAACAAGCAAAGTTGCCACGATCCATTTCTGTGACACCCAACATGCTTCGTTAATAGCTACAGCAAAAAAGGTCTTTAAATCAAGTGTGATTCACTTAGCAACTACTTTGCTTAGTGATGGAAGTTCTAGGAGCAATTGTAGTTGTTAACTTGTACACATCTTCTCACTAGACTATCCCCTCCAGGCATCTAGACAACTGTAGCCAATCAGAATGAGGGAAGAAAATTGACGAACGCTAGATACATCTATGTAAGTATATCATTTGAGACATTTGAAATTATACAGAAGTTTTTTCACGGCTACAAAAGAATCAACTGCAAGACTTGATTTTTTTTCCCAAGAAAATATTCTACCATACATGACTAAAAAAGCCTACAGAGGATGACATTGGCATTGATGGAAAAGAGCAGTTTTCTATTGAAATAGATCTTGATATTTGGAAGTCTCTAAATAGATTTCAAAGCAATGTCACTGAGTCTAGAATCAAAAAGGTTACATCGGATCAGTGGTGGGTTGCCCCCAGTTCGCACCGGTTCTATAGAACCGGTAGTAAAACTGGCGGGAGGCTCCGCCCACTGATCCCGATGTCATCAAAATGTTTCTGCGCATGCGCAGAAGAGCGCACGCCCACAAAGCAAGCACACACCCGCATCCCCACTGCAAACTGGTAGTAAAGGTAAGTAGAACCCACCCCTGCATTGGACCAGAGACCTGTCATTGTACCATCCAAAGTATCCTCTTGTACTTTGTCTTTCATTAATAAATAAACATTAGAAGAAGAATGTAGACTTTGCTGAATTCTAATTGAACCTAAGAAAGTTCAAAGATAATAAGCTGTTACCAAAACTGCCAACTTTTTCTCAGAGAAAAGGTTCTAGGATTTTGTGAAATTTTAGAATGTGTTTTGCTATTCCTTCCAAAACGATGACTGTTTCTTGTGTCTCACCATCCATTTTTCCTAGCTATTATCTGACACATACTACATAGCTCATTGAGTTAAAAAGAACATAAAAATTACATTTTGCCATCTTGTATTGGATCCTTCTTCCAAAAGAATCCAATCTGAAATAGAGTATTGGGTCTTTCTTTTCATTTCCACTATCCAAGCATCCTGGAATAAAACAGAATGCATGTTTAATTTGATTGATATTTTGCCTTTTTTGCTCAGAAGCTGACAACAAGCATACATAATGCTCCCACTATCTATTTTCTCCAATAACAACAAAGTAGGTTCAGTGTAAGAGTGGGATTTGCCCAAAGTCACTTCAATGAGATTCTGTGGCTAACGATGGACTAAATTCTGCCTTTTGCTGATTTCCAGCACCTTAACCCCTACTCCATACTGGCTATATTAAAAGGGAGACAGGTTTGCCAGTCTTTACAAAATCAGCAAACAACTTCATAGAATCTTAAAAAGATTAATGCACATAATGCGAAGTTCCTTGGCTCAAGACACCCTCCAGTGGGCAAACTGACACCCTGGATATGCTGGTTGCCAGCCTAGGAAAATAAAATTCTTGAGGCCACTGATTCAGTCAAACATATGAACTTTGAAATCCTGCATGCTTCCAATAGGAAGGCATGTGCTTCAAATCCAGTGGTGGGATTCAGCCAGTTCGCACCAATTCGGGAGAATTGGTTGTTAACTTTCTGAGCAGTTTGGTGAACTGGTTGTTGGAAGAAATCATTAGGGCAGAGAACCAGTTGTTAAATTATTTGAATCCCACCACTGTTCAAATCCATTGGTATCTCAAGAAGATATTTTGATTATCATTGAAATAGTTAATGAACCTTAAAAAAACTAGATTTGGTAGGCTGAAATTCAACTTGGCACAATCTCATAAATGCTTAGAGTGCTGACTCAAAGATAGTAACTTTCCTTTGAAAATGAATTGTAGGTGTACTAACCTTAAGTGATCCTTTAATGAGTTTTTCCGCCAGGGCAAAATTTCCAATTGGAAAAGAACTAGCGATGAGAGAAAGAAAAAAAAAGGGATTCACTCCATATGGAACATTATTTTAGGCTTCCAATGCTGCTACTAAATTAGAGGAAGGATCAAAGACGTGAATGTTCTATTTGGCTCATAAAGTGATGGGAAATTACTCTTGTTGACATGAAAAGAAACAAAAGTTTCCTCTGCCTGAAGCTTAATAGCTGTAAGTGAAGGCTGGATGAACCATTTAGTGCCAAGTCAATCAGCAGGGGTTGTCTTGTCAGTAAATGGCATTTTCTGAAGATTTGCACAACAATGGTTGCATCTTTACACATGGAGAAAGCTCCACAGGTGGAGAACATGTGCAAATATATTGCCTGTCCCTTGGAAACCCAGCACAGGTGAACTGCAGACAGGCTACTGCCTGACTGAACTGATTGGTGAGGAGTGCTAATGAGAGGAACTTCAACTTTTTAGCCACAGTCAACCAAGTGAGAGATTGAAAGAGGGCTGGTGGCTAGGAATGACTCCGTTCTCTCCTTTCACTTCTCCAAGGCATGTTGAAGGAAAGGAAAGGAAAGAAGGAAAGGAAAGGAAAGGAAAGGAAAGGAAAGGAAAGGAAAGGAAAGAAGGAAAGAAAGGAAAGGAAAGGAAAGGAAAGGAAAGGAAAGAAGGAAAGGAAAGAAGGAAAGGAAAGAAGGAAAGGAAAGGAAAGGAAAGGAAAGGAAAGGAAAGGAAAGGAAAGGAAAAAGAACAGGACAGAACAGGACAAGGGAAGGAAAGGGAAGGGAAGGGAAGGGAAGCCTACTCTTGTTTTCTAGCAAATACAAGATGTCACTTGATGGAGATAATGTTTACAGTAGGATTTATCACATTTTTAAAAATATGACTGCCTAACTTTTTAGTTAGATGATTCATGTTTTAATGTAGTAAACATTTTTTTTCCCATTTCTATATATATTTAAAAAATTTAAAGTATTCTTGATCTTTTTGATTGGACTTTCAACATTGTACTTAGGCCTGCCTTCCTCAACATAGTGCCTTCCCAAAGTGTTGGGACTATAACTGCCAGAATTTTCAGTCAGCATTTTCAACTGTATTTCTGAGAATTTTAAATTTTCAAAAAATTTTGAAGACCATCATATTAAGGTAGACTACCTGTTGACCATATGCTACTATATTTTTCGTGTATAAGATGCATGGGAATATAAAACGCACCTTAATTTTGGGGGAGGAAAACAAGGAAAAAAGTATTTTACCTCTGCCTACCAGCATTTAAGGTGGCACCGCCCTCCTCCTCCTCCTGCAAGCGAGAGGTGCAGGGACTACTCACTTTCCCCCAGAGAGACCTCTCGCATGCTCTGGGGGGGAAGGGACAAACCTCCCTGAGGAACAAACCTCTTCGGGACGGTCGGGGTGGGGGGAATCTGCCCAGCAGCTTCGGGGAACAAGGCGGGTGCCACGATTTGTGGCTGGTCACCCCTCTGGCCGCACTGACTTCACTCCCCAGCAATGTGAGGAGCCCCCGCCGCCGCTGCCTAAGCCCTCTCTGTGCCCAGGAGCCAAGCCGAGCTGAATGGGAGCCCCTAAAGGGAAACATTCCTCCTTTCCAGCCTCGCTGCCCAGATTCCCTAATGCAATTCTCAAGAGTCGCGCTTCAGGTTGAATTCGCGGGGTACACTCACACCAGTCGTGCACGACAAACCTCCCACCTTAGGGTCCCTCCGACCCTGGGGTCCCTCCGACCCCTTGTACCTTCAGGGAAAGGGTGATCAGGCACTTCCCCCCCACTCCTCCAGTGGTTATTCCCCTGGGTGACTCTCACCTTTCCAGCAACCCTCCGTTGTCTGGATATACAGGCTGGTCCCTAGCCCAGGGGTTCAGGTACTTGCCTGTCGGCGTCTTTTTCTTCTTCCTCCAGCTGGATTGATTCGTGCCTGGTCTCGTGGTCTCTCTTTTAAGCGGTTCTTGGAAACGTCAACCGATGCTGCGAAGGGCCGGCCCCACGGGGAAGCCCCTCGGACTAAAAGGGTCCGATGGGCCCTGGGACTTTCCCGATCCTCCGAGTCCCTCACAGCGTGGTGACGATCCAGAGGAATCTAAAATTCCGTTGCCTCCTGGCTGGCTCGCCAGAAATGAAGCGGGATTTACTAATCCCAAATTAGTCAGGAGACAAGACCACGGAGATCCAGAGAAAACAGGCTTTATTGAATATTGCTAGCAATAGGCCCAGTGCAGTAACCTGGCAAATACTGAGCCCCGAGCAACGCCCTGAGGCAGGTTTTATAGATTTCAAGTTCATAGCATGGTTTCAGTTCCTCTTAGGATAATACAGTATTCATACATACAGATGGTTAAGATGGAAAAATACAAATACAGAAGTATATAATGGAAAAGTATAAAAGCAGAAGTCTGTGAGTTTACAATCCTATAGGGTTTACGCAATACTATCTTGGAACATCTTGTGGTTACAATTGTTACAACATTATAGTTACAACAGATTGCTACTGAGAGTACAGATTTAGGATAAAGGGTGTTACATTATAAATGATATAAAAGCAAGGCCGTTGTGATACATATTGTTAGGATATACCATATGAGGGGCTCCCCTTCAAGGTAGCGGCCAGTTCCCCTGCAATGCATGGGTTTGGGCAGCAGACCCGCGATCCCCTTCCTGATTCCAAACATGGGGTGTGCAGAGACAAAAAAAAGTACACCGTGTTTCAGGCGGTGGATCTGGCCAGGAGGAAAGAGAAGTTGAGTCTGCTGAGAAGGAGGATGGGGGCGCGCAGCTCTGAAATGTGCAGAAAAACACTTTCAGGTGGCAGCGCTACAATCTCCTCCCCGAATCCAAAGCACTTCCCAGTTCCCCACTACACATTGCAGGGGAACTGGCCGCCATCTGAAGCGTGACTCTTGAGAATTGCATTGGGGAATCTGGGCAGCGATGGCTAGAAAGGAGGAACGTTTCCCTTTAGGGGCTCCCATTCAGCTCGGCTTGGCTCCTGGGCGCAGAGAGGGCTTAGGCAGTGGCGGCGGTGGCTCCTCACATTGCTGGGGTGTGAAGTCAGTGTGGCCCGAGGGGTGACCAGCCGCAAATCGTGGCACCTGTCTTGTTCCCCGAAGCTGCTGGGCAAATCCCCCCCCCGACTATTCCGAAGAGTGAGGGTTGTTCCTCAGGCTATGCCCCGACCCAGATCCCTGCCGCCTGGAACTGGCCGAAAATGGCCGAAGGGTGAGGGCCGGTGGGTGGGCAGGGCTACATTCGGCGTACAAGACGCACCCAGATTTTCACCCCCTTTTTGGGGGTAAAAAGATGCGTCTTATACACCGAAAAATACGGTACATTGTTCTCTATCCTGAAAAAGTTTTGAAAAAGTTTGTTTTATGCAAGAGTTTCCATTGCTTTACTTCATTATACCTCCATATATATATGCAGTTTAGTTTTACTAACACTTTTTTTGAGAATTTTAATTTTTATCTTGATGTTTTTGTGTAGTCTACAAAGTCAATAGATAAGCAATAGCAGAGCTAGAGATTATCAGGCTTTAGAAATTCTATTTTAATTACTTCTTTGTTTGTGATGCAGTGTGCATACTCGTGAAGTTCATTATTTCAGAATAATATTAACTGCATCTCTTTTTTCACTTGGAACTCGCTATATTTTTTTTAAAAAAAAACCCAAAACTTTGGTTGATGATAACGTTGGCATCCTAGAAAGGTTATTGACCTTATAATGTCCTAAGCCTAATAGGAGGAAAAGACACCACAAAGCTTTATTGTAAAATACTGCTATTACAAGAACAGTTACTAAATAGAAATAACTATCTTCCAAAGAATGTAAGGATTATCTGTCTGAGTCAAATGTCTGACCTGTGACTCTGTTTTATATAGCTACTGTTCTTTCTCTTTCTGTGTTGTTGAGGCATTGCAAATGCAACTTGCTGCCATGTCGAATTCACTCCCAAACACATACATACCTTAAGTGGAGAAGCAAACATTGGATTCTTTCCCACAGGCTAAAGATGCTAGCAATTTGCATCAAATTGAGCAGACTGCAATAATGGCAAAGCAGGAATCAATGAAAAATTGTTAGGATATACATCTACAACCAGACATATTGTGACATCCAGCAATCTAACACTGACATCTCTTCCAGCGATAATGGCAGTTCTTCTAGCACCATTAAATCCAGCAATAGCAGTGGTCTATTTTATAAATGATGGGTAGGTTTCAGCTGATATGCAGCTGATGGGATAATGTCCATCAATTTGCATGATGGCATAGACAGCCAGAATTAATTGTGCATGTTTTGCGAACTAAGTAGCTGAGGATAGTTCAGCAGTTGAGCTAAGTAACTTGATTTCATGATTTTTTTAAAAAAGCTTTTGTTCCTGGGGAAATAAATTGTGACAAGCAATCCAGGCTCAAAGTAAATTTTGAGTGTGGATTGATCAAATGGAAGCAAAAAGAGGCAGGCACTTCAGAGTATGTTTGGAAAAGACCAAAGTTAGAATACTACATATTTTTAAAAAAACAACTCAAATTATGGGAGATATGAATTTAAGCAGATTTGACCTTAAGGAAATTTTGATTTGCTCAAAATTTGCAGTTTTGTTATAGAAAAATGTCAGATTAATTCATTTCTCATGGTAATTAATACTTCCCACTTTATTCATGGGGTCAAATCCTTCCATTTGTAGCCATCTGTTTTTTACTCTTTGTTTTGTCTATATCTTCTAACAAGTAGAAAAAATATTTTTTTCCCAAATGACCAGTTGGAGTGTTTAATCTGCAGATTGCACTTTTTGAAAAGTTCAGGAAACTATATGCCACCTGCAAAGTTCAAGGTTTTTTTAATTCGCTATTAAAAGAATTCAACACCTAGTTATATTGTCAGCTGTTCACTGCAGAATTCAGAATGGTTAAAATGTTAAGACAGGAGAAAAATCAACTTTGGGATTTGAAGATTAGATTGAAATGGACTAGAGAAATATGGTAGCTTTTTAAATATAAGGTTATCAACATCAGATAGTTTACTATATCTTAGATAAAATTTTAAGCAGGCCTTCAATTCAATATCCAGGAACACCCTATGGGAGAAATTAAAATGCACCACAGTTGATAAATGCCTCCTTTTCCTCATACAAAAATTGTATACTAATTCCATCTTGAAAGTGAGGAGTAATCCTCAAGGGATTTTAACTGACCCAGTAAGGGTTCAAAAAGGTTGCATCCTGTCCCCCCTCCCTTTTTAACTTCTATATTAACCCCCTGGTTGATCTCTTACAGAACCCTGATCTACATCCTCCTAACCTAGTACAACGCAAAATTCTGATTCTCCTATATGTTGACAATGTTGCTATTATTTCACAAATTCCCATAGGACTGAAGAGAACAATTAGGGCAACACTTGGCTATTGTAGACAGAACAAATTGGTCCTTAACTTTGATAAATCAAAAATTTTAGTTTTTGTTAAAAGACCCAGCCAATACTCCTGGAAAATTGAAGGACATAGATTGGAACAGGTTAGGACATTTAGATACCTTGGGGTGGTCTTCCACTCACAAGGGACATGGAAGGCACACCTGGAGCAGACATTGCAAGCAGCCAATAGGTCCTCAAATGCAATTAAACATTTCTTTCACACAGGTGGAGGTCAATTAGTACCTGGTGCCTTAAAACTTTTTGAGGCCAAAACATTGGCACAAATTCTTTATGGGGCACAAACAGGAATCCTTGCAAAGAAAGACTTGCAAGAAACCATACAAACCAAATTCCTGTGAGCCATTTTAGCTGCACCCAAAAGAATTTCAAATGCCCAGTTAAGAATTGAGACAGATATGCCTCAAATTCAGGTAAGAGCCCGGAAGATGATGATCATTTATTGGCTAAAAATGCATTTCTTTCCAGAGGGACTGTCCCTGATAGTGTTGACTGACAACTTCCTCTCCTCCTGGAAACAGGCGATAGTCCACAAGCTGGGCTCTCATGGGCTCTCACCGGTATTCTTAATGTCCCTAGGCTTTGACAAAGCAAAGCAAGTAGTAATTGAATGAAGGACATGGAGTTCCAAGAAGAACTAAATAGGTTTCCTCTCCAGAGTAGGGACAGAATCAAACAGGGTCTGTGGGAATCGGCAAGATATGTAAATGATCTGATCTTCCCAAAATAAAGAATAGCTTTATTCAGAGCCAGATTTAATATTCTCCCCTCAGCACTTCTCCAGGATAGGTATAAGAGAACACGAATAGCAGAATGGGTATGCATATGTGGTAAAGGAGAAGTTGAAGATATCTCACATGTTTTATTGTACTGTGAGTTATAGAGAGTTTATAGCTCAGGAATTATTCTCCCCTTACTAGAGAGATTGCCAGGGAGGGCAGACGAATTTTATGTAGGCTTTCTTCTCCAGGACTCAAACCCGGCTACCACATGTGCAGTAGCAAAATTCTGTGTCGCTGCAATGTCCACAAGAAAAAAATTGGTTACAGAATTATAGCTGTCAACTTGTGCCAATTTTTTGGTGATATCTATAACAATTTCTGGAAATATATATATATATATATATATATATATATATATATATATATATATACACACATACATACATACATACATACATACATACATACATACATACAGTTAATATCTCAGGTTTCTTCCCGTGTAATTGTAAACATATCCCTAAAAGGGTAGTAGCGACGTTTCGACGAAATCGCATTCGTCATCTTCTGGCTGAAGTTCTCGGTCTGGTGTTTATGGGCAAACTGTGTGAACGTAACTGACGTTTTTCTATGAAAAGAGGCAAAGGTGTTTTCTGATTGGTCAACAGTGTTGTTGTATTCTGATTGGCTGATGACGTAGCTGTATTTTGATTGGATGGAAGTGCTGATGCTTGGTTGTGGGTTAATGGATAAGTTATGCTGGAAATGGTTGCAACACAGGCATTATGATGAATCTTTGATCTATGGTTTAGATTTTGTGTTAAGATTCATCTGTCTATGAGTGCAGGTTTCCAAATAGTAGGCAGACGGGAGGTGTCATCACGTATATATATGTATATATATATGAAGGGATGCACTATGCTCCCTCCCACATGCTCTTTATCAACAAAATATAAATTTGAGATATATATATCTCAAATTATCTTTAATGATATATCTTTATCAGCAAAATATAAATTTTATGTGTGTGTTTGTGTGTGTGTGTGTGTGTGTGTGTGTGTGTGTTTTCTTTTAGCCAGGTTTTTCCTACGTAACCAAGATTTTTCTGCAGCCCTAGTTCAGTGGAGTCACATCCACTCAATTCTGGGCTTTTTTCTTCTGGCAGCCAGCAGGCCCTATGCTGCCTAGTGAGAGACTTATATAGATCTATTTCTGGCTCATTAGCCATCATCAGTAAGCCACACCCACATCTCATGTATCCTCCCTGTAAAGGTACAATATCTATTTTCTTACTCTTCATAGGTTTTATGTGTGTTTTTCTTTTAGCCAGGTTTTTCCTACGTAACCAAGATTTTTCTGCAACCCTAGATATATATTAGATATATATATATATATATATATATATGCAGCCCTACACACACACACACACACACACACACACACACACACACACACACACACATATATATATATATATATATATATATATATATATATATATATATATATATATATTCACATATTTATTGGCTCTCCACTCATGTAAATTAGGGATTGACCCTAACAGTGTGCGATCATGTATTTTCTTAACAGCGATATTATTATCCACTATTAATGTCAGTATTATTTTTTTAATATATTGTATGTCTATTCCTGGTCGATGACCGTAATAAAGTTATATTCTAGTCAACACCTAGTTATATTGTCAGCTGTTTACTGCAGAATTCAGAATGGTTAAAATGTTAAGACAGGAGAAAAATCAATTTTGGGATTTGAAGATTAGACTGAAATGGACTAGAGAAATATTGTAGCTTTTTAAATATAAGGTTATCAACATCAGATAATTTACTATATCTTAGTTAAAATTAAGAGAAGAATATTTTATGAATATGGGTTTTAATATGTTGATTATTAATTTTTTATGTTATTGTAGATTGATGATATTTGTACAAATTTAGAGGTGATTTTGTTATTATCCCTGTATTAAAAAAAGTTGGTCATTTTTGTTATAAATTTGTGTGGTGTATAATTTTTTTGTCACTTTTAATTTGTTTTAATAAAGATGTTATTTTTAAAAAGTGTTAATTTTTTTAAAAGGACTAATTGCTAAAACAGGAGAAGTTCCTAATCAGCCTCACAGTTATAGGACCTGTTTTTTGTTTTTTTCCAGGATCTCTTGGCTTCAAGAGGACGGGGTCCACATCTCTATTGGAAGAAGAATTTCCCATAATGCATGATAGTTGTTTTGGAATTACTAGATATGATGAAAACATTTCATGGAAATGATTAAGTCCTGCACATAAACTACAGGTTTTGCATCATCTCTATATTATGTTTGTTTACTATAACACCTTTCTCCCAGATATAGCACTCAATGTCATGCTAAACTCACTTTAATTAATAAAATTAATAAATATGTTTAAGATTAAATTATTAGTTCTCTGCCTTTTTAGGTTGTCAGTTCACTTGCAACCATAAATTTTCAATTGCATTCTGAATCAAAGGAAAAATGCTAGTAAAGTAAATCCCAGTAAAATACCCAAACAGCGTATGAGATTTATCACACATAAAATTTAATGCTCCTTGAGACCCCAAACTAACAAAATTTTGTAGCTTTGTAAATACTAACAAAAAATGATTATGGCTGATGAACTAGGCTGTGATTTATGAAATGTATGCTAGAATAACTCTATTAGTCACAAGAATATGTCATTCTTCTTCAAAGACTGACTTGGCTAAGACAATGGGATTCTCATTTTCTCTATTAAATCAGATGTGTCATTGTCTAAAGTGTGTATGTATACACGAGAGAGCACAGCATCACCTCCACTCCTCTTGGGGATTATGGAATAATTTTAGAAAAGCACAACTTTAAAATGCAAAAATTAGGACAATGTGTTAAAATTTAGTGGCAAAAATAGTTTGTATTTTACACAGAAATTAGAAAGGAAAATTATTCCATTATAATACACCTCTGTCCACCCAGCCTAGAACAAGCATTAAACATTTAATGAAATTAAACTGGCAGTAAGAAAGGGCAAGATGTTAACAGTAGCAGAATTTTCATAATTTACAGTAGAATGACTGCACACTAATTCTCAAATGTCAGTTTACATATCTCAGAAGCGAGAATGATTAGGTACATTTTTAGGTGCAATATAATTAAAAAACAAATCAATGAAAGACTGATATCAGGTATTAGTTAATATCATCCAGCTGCATGTGAGTGAAAGCTAAGCATAAAACATGAATTTTCTAGATTTGTTTACTTATTATATAATTTTCCAGTTATTCTTTTTTCTTTCCAGAAGTTTGCTATCATATCATAATATTAATACTAAATATTTACAGTCTTTTTGTTAGCTTGATGTGTATTTAAACATATTCAGTAGGCCCTTAACCAAAAATATAACCTAATGTGATTTCTATCTCGTCCTTTCTTTACAATTATTTTTATGAATATTTTTATGGTTTTTTTCTATTAAACCTCTCACAAGGCAGAACTATCTGCTCTGCTTTTAACTTTCACCACTCATTCTCCTCTTGGACTATTTCTCTATCCCAGTGGTGAAATCCGAACCGGTTTGCTACTGGTTCGCTGGTTACACATGCGCACTGCGCTCAAACGTGTGCCATGTGCACATGCGCAGTACACATCAAATGTGTGCTCTGCATGCGCGCATACGCACTGCATACCAAATGCACATGCACAGTATGCGCCAAAAGGAAGCTTGGGAAGGTAACTGGAAGCGAGGGGGGATCAGCTGTGGCGCACAGTTTAGCTTCGCTTGAAAGCAGGATTTCCTGCTTTCTAGCAAAGCTGAACCCCGCTGCACAGCTGATCGTCGAAAATACCGGTTCAGAGGAACCAGTAGCTTTTTTAAACTACCGGTTCACCCAAACCGATAACTAACTACCGGTTCATCTGAACTAGTAGCGGTTTTTTTACTACTGGTTCGCCTGAACTGGTAGTTTTTATCACTACCGGTTTGCCCGAACCGGAGCGAACTGGTAGCATTTCACCCCTGCTCTTTCCCCTTTTTGCTAAAGTGAAAGGTGAAACTTTTGGCCACTGCAGACTTGTCAAAAGTACCTAAGAATATATATGGAGTGACAATAATTGGAGTATTTTGTTACAATTTTGTAAGTAAGTTTTCACTGCTTTTTGTAAGACTTATATTTTTAATATCATGCAAAGATTATTGTAATTTCCAAATTCTCTATTCCTCCATAAATGTTGGACAATAGTTGCTAATACTTCTTAACTAGACATTGGGTATTCTTGTTCAATACATATAGAAGACAGTTTTTAAAAAATTATACATGAAAGAGAGACTATTTTAATTAAAATGTGTAGAGAGATATTAATGTGGAATTCTTTTTCTTTGATGTACTAAAATCCATACTTGAAAACTAAAACTACCATGCCCTGGTAGTGATTGCTTTAAAAAACTGAATCTTATTAACATCTTGAAAGCAGTATCACAAATCCTGAAAACAATCAAATGACTCTGTTAACTATTAAAATCTGCTGATCCTGTTTAATTATTGGGTTGATAATCTTAAAATTAAATATGTGGGGCTAAACATCGGAGAAGAAAACAGGAAAACAGGACATTTTTTTCAAGTCTGTAGCCCTATCAGAGGGATTATTACAGCAGAAAGCACACATTCTGAAAACACGTCACTGATACACTATTTTATAGACTAGAATCTTGAGTTTGTGTACCTAACTAAACAGGATTATTTCAACTGTGTTCACTAAATTAGCCATCAGAATAAAAAATATCACATTGATTATGATGAGCCACCCTAACCCCAGCCTTTCTTCATCTGCCTTCCTATTTGCTTTGCCCTCCCCTCCCCCCATGCTGCCACCTGCTCCTAAAGCAGGAGTTGTGAGTAGGAAGATCCCCATATTGGATATGTTCCCAAATATATCAAAGTTCTTTGGCTGTTTCTCTCTTCTTCTTCTCCTCCTTTACACTTCCCATCATGTTAGTTTTATGTTGTCTCTCTTTTTTTTTTCTACTTGGAAAAAAAATTTCTGCTGGTCTGAGTCTGGTTCTGTGTTTCCAAAAATCAACAATGTCTGGCTACTTCCAAATAAACTCGCTCTCATCTAACCCATTCTTTTTCTTCTTCTTTGGCATTAATTGGAACATTAAGGTCTGAAAGAATCTGTTTTCTGCCACTGCATAAGAATTAATACAGTTTGTGTTATCTAAAGGAACAGGACTGTCAAATGCATAGAAATTAAGGAACATGAATATATAATATTTAAAAACAGCATTAATGTGAAAAGTGCTAGGCAAAATCAGGAACAAGAAAGTAAGGCGGTATAAATTAAACTAAAATTTAGTTGCATCTAATGAAATGAATTTGATTTTAATTTTTTAAGCTTAATTTTACTAATACTATTTGGTCTTAGTCTATATTCATTCACGGCACAGTAGCCCATCTCCTAATTTCCAGAGGAAACCATTTATTTAAAATTGTAGAAAAACAACCATAAAAAGGAGGCATATTTTTTTATTCACTAAAGCATAAATTGGAAGTACTCCCAGCGTACGGTCTTCCCTAACATAAATGTTAATATAATTTGCACTTAGAACATTTTCATTTTTTCAGTCATTTCTGAAATGCTGTCATCAGCAGACTACTCATAGATTTGCTATGTTAAACAGTCACGTGCAGCTCATTTAGCATATTTCTTCAAGCTGCACTTTTCTGTCAGATACACATTTTTGTACAAGGCACTTTTTCTACAAAGTTGTTATTTTAGGACATTTGAAAATGACCCTTGCTTTCTGAAATATGGAAACTGATGCCAAAGCATGTATGTCAAGCTTCAAAAGACTTCTTCGGTTGTAACTATTATCATATCTCAGCTTGCCAATGAACTATGAGGGGAGGGAGAGGGAGATAAAACATGGCACAGACATCAAGATGTTGGTATGAGAACCAAGGACATTTCGGCAGGTGTTTACCGAAGCCACAAAAGACTTTCCCATAACAATACCCAGAGACTGCATTGGACAATGACCTGAGCTAATTGGAGGGTGGTAGAATATGAACGTTATCCAAGATGGCGCCGCCAACGGCTGCCTCAGTGAAATGCTCTCTAATGATTTCTTTATTTTTTTATTATTCTCTGCGATTCTTTAAGTGTTGTACCTATGATTCTTGACGAATGTATCCTGTCTTTTTATGTACACTGATGTACATAATGATGTACTCAATAAAGTTTTGCATAAAAAGATTGGAGCATCTCGATCATGCTTGCTTTGGTTGGGTTCGTCTGTCAGAACCTTGACAATGTACTTATTTAATGAACAAATCTTGTTATGATTAAAAACAATGGGCTGTCAAACAATTGCTAATGATTAATTTATAATCATTAACTCATAATATAAAAGAAAAATGGTATTGGGCACAGATGAAATGGAGATAGAAACATTGAGGTGAAAGGACATTCTTCCCTATGTATCTTCGACATCTGGATTCCTGGGTAACCTGAGTAAACCAGCACTTTTCATGTATTGCAGTTCATTGACATATTTACTTAACATGAAATATTATGTTGGTAGGCAGGTAATCCTCCATCTCTTAATTAGTTGAGCCGATTCACCCATTCAGCTCCACAGAGTTGGTGAAACAGATCAGACAGTTATCTGACCATATATATGCCCGTGCTTTAGAGCTCTAATGTTAGAGTCCAGTTTAAGACAACCTGGTGTCCATTCTTGTTATTTTACAGACTACAAGGAAGGAAGCTTTGTCCCCATGAATCATTTTCATATGCACCACCACAGAATTAGAGCATATATTCAATCTGAAATGTCTTCCTCATTGACATGTATTTGAAATCACTCCCTCTTGGGAGCTGCTTTGTCTGTATAGGAGATTCATAGCATAATAGCTTCTACTCAGGTTATTCCAGAGAAATTTAAGAGGATGGTAGTTCCATTATAACAAACAGTTAGAAACCAATTATACTTTTGGTTTCTCTGTTACCCTGTTGGTAACAGGACATGTCAACTTTTAGATACAGAGTGAAAAGATCTGAATACGATGCTGCAGAATGTACTTGTGAAACAACAGAATCCATGTCTTCCCATCACCTTTGTTGGTTAAGTTCCTTGTTTGCAATTCTGTGTAGTGAAGATGTTCCGGTTTTATTTTTGTGCCTGCTACAATATCTCCACTCAACTTTTTGCTCCACTGATCTGGATTAAAAATACTGCCATCAGGGTTGTTTTGTTCATTTCATGGGTCTGGTAGAGGATGTTTTATTTGTGTAGGGTATTTTGTAAGTTGCCTTCTGAAAAAAACATGCTCCTTTATAATATTTTGTTCTGTTTAGAATAGCTCCAGATATTGGCCAGGAGTTCCTTTTGGATCATCAGGGACAACGTGTACAGGGGACT